GAAATAGGGTGAATACATCTCAAATAAATAATTACTCTTAGCCTGTCTAAATACAATTATATAACGAGTAAGGTAAGATGTATTTGTAGCGAACTGCTATTCATTTTAGATCATGTTGGCAATAAAGCCCGATAGTTTTTCATGATGGACTAAGATAATTAGCTCAGCTGCCAGTAGGCTTAAAGGGTATACTATTTTAAGAAAAGAATAAGTCTGACCAGATACCTGGCGAGGCAGATTACACTGAACCAGAGATGTCTCATGGAACCTTAAAATGTGGGGCTACAAACTTATTGACTAGACTTTTAAATCACTAGTAGCTAACCCAACTTTTATCAGTCTAGGCGTCTTTAAGTCCTTACTTGATCGGTCATCCAAGAGCATGCATGTAGAAATAAGAAGGGAGTAGATTTCAGAAAAAAATATGCAGACTGGCTCGCAACAAGGGAGATTTGCCCAACTAAAAAAATTCAATGATAAATCATATGGATATCATATTATACAAGTGAATTGACTGATTATCCAACGTAGAAGAGGGCTAGTCACACCGTAAAGGATTTTGTGATAAGAGCGTTTTTACAAGGGTTCGGGCTGAAAAAAATAGGTATAACTAGCTCGCGCTAAGGAGAAAGCAACAACACAAAATGCCACGTCATCCTGGTTTTTACATATACAATACGATAGGAAACCGAGAACGAGGACACATTCGAAGACTGTGGTTAGGGACAGGAAGCAGGAAAATTCCCAGTATATAAAGTGCAAGAATAAATGTGATTGTAACTTAGTCACACTAAGTCGCAAAAGTTGATTTAAGGACTAATAATCGATTTTTAAATAATAAGATCCGTAGGTCTCACGATATCATTGAATTTCTCTTAGCTTTGTATCTCAAAAGGCTAGCTCATTCAGGGTATGGTGCAATCTAGGCCTCTCAGGTCTCATCTACACCAAAAATGGGATTGAATATCGCGTTGAGTATCGTAGAGAAGTTTCCACCTCATTTCCCGGATTATCACGGGAAAAATGTGGTCTCCCAATATCATTAGTTTTTTAGTGGGGAAAATCTCCCAAAACGTAATTCAAAAGTACTAGGTTGGAGAGAATTAACCGGAATATGCAAATGTATAAAAAAATAAAGATGAAAACAATATGTTGTAAATAAAGGACCTATTAACGCAGAGCTTGTCACAAATCACAAAGCGACTCACGACTTGCAATTTCACGACTATTAATTGAAATATACCTCAGTTTAATCCATTTGCATCACTTAATATTGATAAATTTGGTATAAATCGTCGACAATCAAAAATGTGGTTAAATCAATCTAGATGGATATCGCAATCATATGCTCGTTCTTCGTTTATAAGAAGAGTTTCGAGACTACCAGAAAATCAGTTATATGAGCTGTATTTACCATATTTTGTTTAAGATGATGAATGGTAGTTGAATTTTCCCACAATGATATGACTATAGCTTACGTTTCCATTGTCATCAACAATCTCACAAAATAATGTGACAGGAAAATGCTTTACTTGAAATTCACATATGCTCTGTGACCTAAAGGGCACTCGTGGCAATGTAACGGAGTGGTTAACATGCCGAGCTTAGACGCTGCACCTTCATGATTCGAATCCAACTAGGGGTGTTGACAAGACTTATGCAAGGTCGAAGCTGCAGTCCACTCTGGATGAGAACAACTTTTTGGAAAACAAGATTATGTGAAATTCAATGGAAACGTCAGCTCTACTCATATCATTATAGAAACATTCAACTACCAGTCCTTCGTCACCTTAAACCAAATAGGATAAATACAGCTTATATATGCCCATGCCTTCAACTAAATATAAGTTATATACTTTAAACAAAGCTGGAAACTATAAAATACAGTTTTCATAAATAAATCGATGGACTCCAAAAAGTATAAGGGAAAAGTAAGACATAAAGATGGGATGTAAGTCTGTTGATATTGAATGATTTTAGTATAATTCACAGTTTATAGCCCAAAAAACAATTTTATGTGCCTATTGGTAGATTATCACTTGCTTAATTCAATACTTTTTAGCGCTGGTACCAGAAAAAGTATTTGGAGCTAGAAATTTATAGCCTAAAAGAGGGCATTTAGAAAGACTAGCTAAACCTAATTACTGAAATACTATAATAATTAAAGTAATTAGCAAATTATCTAAGCCCTCAAGATGGCTTTAAGTTAGCACTAAGTTTTGCCTTAAACTTGTTGCAAGAATGAAAGAGAATTATAATATTATCGAACCAGACTCGCTTTGGAAGCTTATTCTTATAAAATGTAGGAAAAATCACGATTGAGCACATATAAAGTCAGATTATCATTCGAGAATAACTAGCTATAAAATAATATAGGGATCGAGAAAAGAAAGCATATGCAGTATTTTTAGCACTTTCTGGTTGGAGCATGAGTAAATATTTATCAGTATCGAGCAGCGATTTGTACATAAAGAAAAGTGATGAAATCGAATGGATGAGGAAGACAAAATAACAAACTAAAGCAAAGTAGAAGGGATGAAGGGTAAGAAAATAATATCTGGCTAGGCAGAATCAGCAAACTTCCAGGGACATAGAAATTTGAAAAACTAAAGTATAGAATGGCTGCATAAATACGGTCGAAAAACTAGATCCGTAAAAGATTCATATTATCCATTAGAAGGTAGAAAAACAATCCATGCGAAGAATATAACACGATGTACAGCAAATTTATTATCGTGAAAGGCAGGAAGAAAAGTAAAATAGTTGGAAAACAATAGATAGTGAGGCGATCAGTAGCTGAAGTGAGGGCTGAATAAGAAATTAGAACCAGAAGAAGACTGAAAAATGCAAAAAGGTAAGCCACCCTCTTAAAATAAGTAAGCGCAGGCATGAGTAGTTTAAATAATAAATCTAGGAAGAATGAAGATTAAAATGTTCATCTTAAGTAGTTAATACAACTAAAAAAGTAATTAATTAAATTTTCTTAGATAAATAAGTGAGGAAAAAAAGAAGACAATGGCTTCAATTCAAATTTAAAGATAAGTGAAAGAGATCAGTCCCAAAATTTTAACCTAATTAAAAAATTCAGTATATATTGAGAACGGAAAAGCAGAGGGGCAATATTTGAGGATATATATATATATATATATGTATGTATGTATGTGTGTATGTCATTGAAAAAATTGATCAAGGACCTTGAAAGAGTGATATAAATATGAGGCAATGTGAAAGTAGTCAGAATATTGCTTCAATAAACAAGACAGGAATGAGGTGTGAATATGGCAATGTTTTAGTGATGAAACGATGGAATAATTCGTGAAGGATAAAGCTTGAAGCGTTTAAAGAACTAAGTGTATCACAGGGAAAATAGAGATCTTGGCAAAATTATGATAGCTGAAGTAGTTGTGTGTACAATGAAGATAGGATCGTCTGAGTGTTGTCAGAAGAATGAGGTATTCGTGCAGACAGGAGTACCATAAAAGAAAGTCGAGCTGTGTTAAGATTTCAAATAATGACATCATAGTACATCTGCTATGAAGGCTTTCTACATTTTATAGAATAAAGCAGAGTAGATGCGAGTTACGCGTAAAAGCCACAGAAAGAATATAAGAATGGAAAGAATTTTGCTGAGGCAATATTAAAAACAACAAAATATTATTAGTCAAAAGGTTTTGCGAAAATAAGATAAAAACAAAAAGATAATAATGAAGAATGAAATGCAGACTGTGAATTAAAGCGGCTTAACAGCATATATCAAGGAAAAACAAATGAATTTGACCGAGACTAGCAGGATGGAAGATTTATGGCGTTAATCAGAGAGGAGCAGGTACCAGGGCCGAGCTACAATAAAGACAGTCCAAGAGCATAGAAAGCAGACCAGCAAGCATCCAGTGAAAGGTAATAATGGTCCCCAGCAATCAGATGGCCTCACCTCTTCTGACAAGCCAATAAATAACCATGCTTATTATCGGCGATGTCCAGGATTGCTCAGCAACAGTGTGGCTGACTTGCCCCAAAAGTGTCCATGGATTGTAATCGCATCAACAACGGGACTCAAATGTTTGGTAGACGTGATTTGGCTAAATGATTTGGAGCCGCAGTTATACCTGGATAAAGGGAAAAGGGAAAACCGAGAAAAATAAAGAATAGCCATAATATTAATTAATAATAAATGAGAAAAATAAATAAAAATAATAACCTGCAAAAATTAATCTTATTTGGCATTCATTCATTTGATCTGACAGTATGGCTAAAATTAATATGCACGAATATGTATGGAATAAAATAAAAAATAGTTCTCAAAGAACCTCTATTGATCACACGTTATATATTGTAAGACTCAGCTATTCGTAAAAGCTAAGGTAACAAATGGTCGTCTAGTGATTTTATTATGAAGGTTGAAATTCCGAGGTGTGAAAGTTTGAATAACGATAGAAAATTTAAGTGACACGTAAAAAATGTTATACTCAGGATAGATTGAAGTCGCAATTCCACCTTAACACCAAATAAATAAGAATTCAGGGCCAAAGACACTTGGCTAAAAAACGCAAGGGCCTGAGCTTTAGAGGCCATAAGCTATACATTAAGACAAAAGGATATGTATATATATGTAATATAGGTATAAATTAAGAATTAAAGCCGCTTTTAGATGCCATTGGAACGAATAAGAAGTGGTTTGCGGACTTTATATCAAGTCTGAAACATCGAAAAAATGATAGAAATTTAAAAATAATTGTATAAGTATATAATGTTTCTATGCGGGCAAAGCGTCCTGGTCCTTTTGTGTGAAATAGGAAGTGATAAAATAGTGGAAAAAGAATATAGATGCTTTTACTGGTTGAACAATAAAAATCGAAAAACTTTACTGTTCCAAATCTTTTTTGTTAGAAGGACACCTTGAAGAGAGTAGATTAATTAGGCGAAGTAAGCAGAAAAGTTATTTTTCGAATGCTTCAAATAAGCATGAAAAAGTGCAAAGACGAAACAAAGAAAACATGTAATCCCAGATTATTTTTAGAATATCTCAAATAAGTTAATTGAGTGTACGAATATTTTAAATGTGGGACGATACAAAGATTTGGTTGAGGCTTGGTTGATGCGGATAAAAAGCAGTGACTAACAAAAATATGGGCATTTAGACGATAAGTTTTCAAATAGAATCAGGGCCCCAGTTTAAATGAAAAAACGCTTTACATATACAAACTATTTGATGCCAAGACAGACGAAAAACACGTTGACCGAATCATTCTTACTTAAAAAATTTGTCTACCATGTCATGCGTGACTTTCCGTGGGCCACTACCGCAGAGTATATGCAATTCTTCGGTCTCCAGATCGAATGTATAGACAGATCTATATTGACAACGGCTGTCACGAAATAAGATGATAAAATGAGTTCCGGGGGCGGATGCGAGTTCCTGGTGTGAGATAAGGATAAAAAATACATATAAATTTAGTGATTGAAATAATATTAGAACCAAGCATCGACAAGTGACCATATCTCATAACGTAAAATAGCATATTTTCATTAATTTTCAAGGTGCATAAACTGTTCTAAAGGGATTATAAGAGTTAGAAGAGGCCGAAACTGTAGTCCACCTTGGATTATAGTACCTTATGAGAAGTAAAACTGTGAAATTCAATGGTGTCACTCGGTCTTACCCAAATTATGATGGGGAAGTTAAAATAATAGCCTTTGCTCATCTGTTGCGATCTAAGATGATAATAGCTCTTACTATAAATATACTTGAAGTCTGGAAATCTACAATGAAAATTTTTTTTACTAGACTGGAAATCCACTTAAAAACCTAACATGGTGATTAAATTTAGTTTTGCCTAAAGACTCCAAATGGATGTTTTCGTGGCTAGAGCAAATAAATAATATGCTCGATAAAATCACTTACATATAAAATAAATAGTGTGAAAAAACAAGGAGTATCGTGTTCATATTTACTCTTAAACAGTGTATCTATTTTTATCATGCAGCGACTTTTCGTCCCTCTACCGAATCCTCACTATAGAATAATGCTATTTTGTTAAAATGTCTCGTGCTCATAATACAATTAGAAAATATATAATAAGAATTCCTACATTATCTGAATTACTCAGAATTTCACATGCATCCATTGCTGATGAGTAATACCAGGAATTTTATATTTTTATATTTCATCTGCCAACTTCATGCCGCACATTGAATTGCACATTTTCAGCATATCAATGCTTTTTGGCTTTGTGTACGAATTTTACCTTGGGCTAACGTGGATACTTCACAAGGTTAGGTAAACTCATCCTATCTGCCTCACGACATTTTATATTCAGAGGATAATAGCTTGGCTGATATACATCCTCTAATCTAGTCCTCCTATTTTTACGGACACATACGCATGCTGATAGAGTTCATTTGCTAAGCTGGTGCATAAGTATTTTGTATAACATCCAAGAAGCGCTTTTCAGTAGAAGCAATGAAGCAATGAATCAGAATGGAGATAAAAACAAACGATTACACTTGAGTTCAGCATAGTGATTTAATTCTCCTACAATACTGGTTCTCCTTCAATGCTCGTGAAGAATGAAAGCAAAAAAGCTCGAAACTTAAAAGCATGTACTATTCGTAGAAGGCTGAAGATAAAAAGGACCGGGCCTCCCATTGATTGGAATATTTGTGTAAATTCTCCTTTTCAGATGCCACGAAGTGAAAGTATGCTAAACGAACCGATTACATCAACACAACTAAGAAATACAGGTAGTAGATGGATGGAGGGAAGAGTAAGTCTTGTGGAAGAAGAAAGACTAACCTTTAAAGTCGAGAGCTTTACCGGCTCATTGACCGCTCCTGCCAAACAGCAGTGTCCGATGGCGTTAACTATCACCATCCTGTTTGACTTGGCCTTGGGCTTGACAAAAAGTCGTGGATGACTGCTGGCTGAGAAACTGACCAACTGATTAGAGGGGTCGCCAGAAGATGAAGCCGCCGAAGATATCACTGGGAGGCCGGGGCCGCTGTACGCCGAATCGGCGCCTGAAAGGCGGTGGAGGGCTGTACAGGTAATAATTAGAATGGATGTAGAAGAAAGTCGCGGGGCATAAGGCTTTTATTTCCATTTCGGTTATATATTTTTTTAAAGTATTCAAGTATCTGCATAGATAAAATACTTTCACTCGAAATGGAAGTGTTTTAATTAACTATAAACCAATAGATTCCTCGTAACGCAACTTTTCTTTAAACATAGTAGGTTGTTTGTCTCCGTCTAGTATATTTGTGCGTTTTATCGCAAACTATGATTCTCGCCTTATAATTTCTGTAGTATGACGTAGAAAAGATCAGCAGGGATTCATTTGATTTACAGGACGATGAGCCTAGAACTTCTTAATCCAATTTGACAGACACTATTTTGTAAGTTTCCGGAGAGACAATTTCACGAATACCCTCCAAGCAAATTTTACAGTGGAATCACAGTTAAGTAATTACCAGCTCGTCTTTGATCCTTAAAAACAAATCCAAATCTATAGACATAATATAGGGTAGAACGATCAAATATTCCATACACACGAAATGCTGTTAATTTTCAAAGTGATCACATGTCTGTCCTAACTAGAAATGTAAATAAGGATTCGAAAAATGAATGCCTTTACTTGAGTTTCCTTGTAAATTATAAAAGATTTTATTGACTCGTTCGACTGATACCCCTGCTCTGATGATGCCCGTCATACAACGGACGAAAGCTTGGCACATGTGCAATGATTTCGAAGGAGATTGCTCCGGAAACAGCGTCAAATAGAATTTTTAGGTAAAGCTAATCAACATCCATCGCCTGCTGGTAGGAGCGACCTTCAAATCTCTTCACCAAACGATTTCAGTCGAAATGGAAGAGAGTTCAATAATTGTCAAAAATAGTACTATCATGAAACTAATGAGGGCATATCCTATAGTTATCCTTCTCTGTTTGAACACGTTCGACTGATTTATAGAGGAAAAAAACATTGGGCAATTAAATAAGATAATTTCAAGCGACGATAAACCAAAGGCAATTTCAAGGCTCGATGACAATTAGTATATGCAATATTTTTCATTTGGTTAGGGAAGCCAGATACTTGGAAAACAACCTTCTGTTTTTGTATAAAAATGGCATAAGCTTGATTCTATCCTACCTTAAGGATAAAATTCCTCAGACAGTTATTTATGTCTTAGTGACTAATTTGTCGATTTTGTGCTTAGTGTAGTTTACTCTCAAAAAACCTGAAGTCAATATAAAATTGAATATCTTAAACTCTGATTTAGTTCCTTAACTATAACAAATTCACTGATAATTTTATTCTCTCTCCTTTCCTCGTTTTTCCTGTTTGATTATGCATAATCAAGATAGTGATCAGTTGTGAAGTTGGATACTGAAGCATAATCGCGATCAAGAAGCATAGGTCGAATGCAAATACCCTTGAATCCTGCTGCTTAATTTGTCATATGGAGTGCAACTTTTAGATATGAGCATTAGATAAGAACCATGCAGTTTAGTAAACTCTTTCTCATCTGTGATGAGTGAACCACCTTTCGTAAATGCCATACAGCAGGAATATGAGAAGTATTTATCCTATTTCGTTCAAGTA